ATGGGAATCAGTTGAAAGGGACTGTTTTCATATAAATAGATTTAAAAGGAGGTTCCAGCACACATCACCCTCAGCCTGGGTGTGGGTACAGTGAGAGCATTTTGTCCCACCTTCTCTCAGTCTTGCATTAAAACTAATGCCATCCAGTCATATTTGTTGTCTCATTACTACCTCCATCTTAAACTTAAAATAAAATATGCAGTACATTTTCCTGCACTTTGACTGATGCAAATTACTATTTAAAAACATTAGTTAATACAGACCTAAGGGCTTTAAAATGCTGATAAATAAACTGGAGAAAAATAATATTAGTAGCCAGTTCCTGTTTCTGTATTGCTAGTATTACAGTTTTTTGAATCTGTTCCTTTTCTATTGATATTCCTGGTGGCATTGATCCAGCAATGGCTGCCAAATGCCAAGGCCATGGGCTGTCAGCATTAGATCTACAGGCGTTCTGGGGTATGAAGAAATGTAGTTCCCATCATAAAGAACTACTGCAATCCATCCAAAGTGACAGTTTTTTTTTGGTTTTTTTTTTTTTTGGCATTATTTATGTCATAAGCACACTGGCTGATATTGTCTTTCCGTAAATGCTGTTTCTCCCCATCCTTTTGGCATTCAAGGAAAAAGCAAGCAAGCCCTGGAAAAGAGTATGCAGGAATTTTTCACCTCTCCAACAGAAATGCACTGATGTAAATATATCTAAGTAACCTGGATAACAGGGTGATGCCACCCTTTGTGGTCCCTGCTCCAAGGATTTCTGCCGTGAACTGAGCTATCACCTAAGAGGATTTCGTGATGCTTCAGAACATGAACATTTCTCCATTTCTTTTATAGATAAGTAAAAGGATTCATACAATGAAAATGATATTGCAACACGGGGAAGTGTAAAAGAACAGGGAACTTTTGTTTCCATGGCAATTCAGGCTCTTTTTTCAGACACAAGTGAAACGGCAGCATGATGAACGATTATCTGAAGGTCGTGTTGTTCTTACCAGAAAAGTTAAAGAGAATACACCAGGCTAATTTCCACACTCATGATGAATACTGCACTTCTAAATAATTAAAATAAGCAATTTCTGATAGCAATAATTGCATCAGTTCACACCATCTGTTTATTTTAAATTCTATTTTCCTAAAGAAAATAGTAGCTGGCTCTTGAGGGAGGGGAGCAGACCTAATTGTTCCTTAGAATCACTCATATTTCACAGCAAGATCTGATATGCTCCCAAAGCAAATGAAAAAGTTCCTGTGTATTTTTGGCATCCCTAACTTGGTAAAATAAAGGCATTCCTTTAGACTCAAACACCTCTTAAAAATGAATAGAATGTGTCCATACGCATCCAGCCAACTTTGGAGGAAGAGATGTATTTTCAAGGCTCTGTCTTACCAAACAAGTGCAAATAGGCTTTTAAATGCCTGTACACCACAGGGATGGGGCCAGCTTCTTGGAAAGGTAAGCAGAAGGACCCTCATCTCTCTTTACTTGCCCAAGAAAGAGGCATTTAAACACATAAATGTTAAATGCAGTTTATTTAGTGTTTTCCAAAATTGCTTCTAGGTTTCAGTTTCCTCGGAGATGCTTTGACCTCACTGAAAGCGGTAGTTAAAGCTTTATGTGAAAAAGGATTGAGTGTTTAAAAGTGTAATTCCATTTTCTCGCTCCATTTTGTTGTCCGTGATTTACTACAGATCTGAAGTGTAGCGGGACAGAAACTTTACTGGTGTTTGGAAGGAAAGTTATTTTTAGTGTTGTTTTGTTGCCAAGGCGTATAGAAACCTTATGTACTACCTCAGAAAGTTCCCGTGAAGTGGTAGCAAAAGAAGGCTGCCTATTTTTTCATCTTTTCTTTCCATCCACGAAGCTTTTCTCCAGCTAAAAATACACTATTCAGAAAGAAAAGTTGCAGGAGTCACCAAGCAGCTTAAGGGAGAATTAAGCAATAAATGTGTGATTATTACCTGTGGGTAGTATAAATATAAATGAAGTTCTTGCACCAGGACAGTTCTTACACATGCAGCTATACTTTTCTTTAGCAAAAATGTGTTCCTGAATCAGAACTTCTTGAGGTTATGTTCAGTGACAACCAGATACAGAGAGCCAGGTTTGCCTGGGGCAAGAGGAGAAGAGTGCAATGAAAGAGCCCAGCTCTCTCAAACCTTAGCAAAACCAAACTGCTCATTTGCAGATAACCATCATTTTGGGTTTAGCTTCAGCAGAACAAGGATTTAAGGCAATGTGTGACTTGTATATTATTGATGGGGTGATTCTGGTAGGGTGGGATAAATTCTGCTACAGTTCTAAAAATATATATATTAGCTTCCTTTATCTCCTTCTACATTGACTGCAAGTTTTTAAAACTACTCTGGTATAGTTTTCTCTCTGCAAAAATAGGAACCGCACCTTCTTAGAGTAAAAATATCTCTTGGTTAAATTAACAAGTCTTCAATGAACTTAATACTCCCATGGCATAGTAAGAGGAGAAGGTCTCCTCCTTAATCCTCACCTCCCTTTGTAGGGGGCACTTGAGATCCTTATCACCTGAGTGCACTATCTATGTGCAAACACAAATACCAGGACCATCTCACAAAAATATATGTGAGCATCCAGTAATAAACTGGTATTAATATCACAATAGCCTGGCAAACATGGGGTGGATGTTTGTGAGTCACTTAAGTATATATTTATATATGTATATTTGTGAGTCACTTAAATATATATTTATATATGTATTAAATAAACACAGGCTTCATGTTGGCAGTAGAAGGTTTTTGCAACTATGCTATATGCAGCTATTAGGTATACTCACCTTATAGTATATATACTCACCATAATGAGCTTCAAGAAGTTAAATCTTTACAGAAAAGTTTGTGTTTTATAAAACAACTGTTGTATATTAGAGAAAATATGTTTACATATATACATTCTTGAAATATTCGCATGTAAATTTGCTAAAAATAAACAATGTAAAATTCTCACAAATCATATTACTGAGGTTTTCACTAATGTACACGTGACTATATTTTATGGAAACGCTTCTTGTTATGCTTGGAAACATAACTATCTTTTTATTTCCCTCTTCTGGAAAGAGTTAAATAATCATTTGCAAAGTTCTTTAATTATTGAAATAATTAGATTGTTAATGCTGACATACAAAGGTCTGCTTTTCTGTTGCTTTTGTAGCTTTATAACTGCCCACAATAATTGCCAAGGAGGGCTGTGCTGAAAATGGTAACAAAATTATGCACAATTTCTGTAGCTCAGGTCCTGCCCTCGGAAGTTATGACCAAGGGAAAATGCCAGAATACTTTGGAAAGGAAAAAAAAAATGTTAGGAACATCTGTGAAATCACTAAGACAGAATATCCAGGATATTCTGTCTGCTACTGAATCCGGGGAGGAACCAGGTATTTCACACACCATATCCAGGGTCTCAGCTCCCACACGTTACCAAGTCACCGTCCTCTCTGAACAAAATGTGATAAAACCACCTATTCTCTGCAAAACTATTTGAAATGCTTGATAGAAAGGGATTTTCATAATTTTTTAAAGATTATGCAATTCAATACAGCAGTGAAAAAAAAGATTATTTGTTTTGGAAAATGAAAAAAACCTTTCTTAAAAATAATAAAAAATATAGTTTTCAAGCTTTTAAAGCTGTAACCCCAAAAAATGAGCATAGAATTGCTGGTTAAAACACTTTTAAATTAATTTGCATATCAGTAAAAGGGAAGATCTCAGACAAAACATAATCACCAAGCTTTTGAGAGAGTGATTAGGAAAGCAACAATGATAATCAAATATTGGGACTGGATTACCCATTATCTGGACCCCAAACACATCAAGAAGTGTAATTGCTGAGTTATGAATTTATTCAGTAAGGTAATGAGCAGCACACCTGAGCTGTGGTTGCAAGAGCAGATTGCTGAGTGGATGGGAGGACATGTAGTATTTTCTGTTAGTGGGCAACACAAGGAATACTGTACACATGATGAAAATATAACCTGGTACTTTCAGCACAGTAGGAAGGATAAAAATGCCTATTTCATACAAGCCAATTGCTGGGTATTCCCTCCAGTGCTATGGGTTATTTTAGAGGCATGCAAAATATGACAGATAAGGTTTTATTTTCAAATCGGTCTCATTAACCACACCGGGGATGCACATGTGCAGCTGGTAGCACAGTACATCCTAATATGTTTCAAAGATGTTTCAGAGAGAAAAAATCATGATCCTTTCAAAAAAATAAAGAAAAAAAGAGGAGAGAGAGAAAAAGATCTGCTGATGAAATGTGTCCTTCTTGGGTTTCAGCTGGCCTGGGGACAGTTACTCCTAGGAGACGCATTTTAAGCACTGGCATATGCTCTGCATTTAGTCAGACTATTGGGAAAGAAGGAAGACTGAGCTTGTTTCATTGCTAGAAAGTGATACTACATTTGTGAAAAGTAATATATATATGTATATATATATATATATACATATATACATATATATATATATGAGGATCTGCTGATGCAGACACACAACTTGTGCTTGTACTCAAATGCTCAGTGCCCAAGCAGAAGGCAGCAGCATGCCGGAAGGCTGGCATGAATTGTCCCGTCAGTCTGTGCTTTTGGAAGGAAAAAAAAGAAAAAAAAAAAAGAAAAGAGAAAAAAAAAAAGAAAAAAAGGGAAAAAAAGAGGGGAACAGAAGCAGCGGTGCCGGAGGGGGTGCACACCTGCCAGGCAGCGACGGCTCCGCGTCCCTGCACGGGGCTGTGTGTGTGTCTGGCTGCTGCATCCCGGGATCACATGCATCCCGCTGCTGCCCCCTCCCTCCCAGCCCTCTGTCCCGGGCTCTCCTTGCAACTTTTGCAAACTAGCCCAAAGCGGGAGCACGCACCGTGCACAGGCTTCCGCATCCCTCCCCGTGCGCAGGGGATTTGCCAGCTGCCAGGGCTCCTATTTTCCCTGTTTCCCAATAAAATCCTGGGACTTGCAAGGGAGATTAAAGCAGTAATGATTGCCCTTTGCTGGAGCCGCTCCTGCTCCCCGCTCTGCCTTGCTCTCTGTGCCTTTGGGATGGTTCTGCTGTGGAATTCGTGCCGGGCTCTGCCCATGGAGGATCAGGATTACTACCTGCAGGAGATTAGCAACAGGGATCACTATTACTCCTTTCCATATCCCGGTGAAGACTATTCCCCTTTCACGGAGCAGCCTGGGGAGGAAGGAACGCACCGTGCTGCCGACACGGAGGAGGAGCATCCAAGGTTCAAACCAAGCAGGAAAGAGTTAAAACCGAAGAAAAGCAGCAAAAAAGGAAAACCTATTCTCGAACCACCACCAGGTAACTTTCCACCTCCTCCTGCAGAACTTGGGATCTGCTGAATCTCTTTCTGACTGTGACTTTTAGCATGAATATCCAGCTAATGATAGGCTTGGTAATAGTAACAGCCAGGGTGCATGTGGGGATGATGATGACAACATGTTAATTTTTAATATCCCACAGATTGGATCCTCTGCAGTTACATAGGCATTTTTAAACCCTTCCTCATCAAGTAAAGAGATTGGAGAGAGCTAATGTATAAATTATGCTGAGCTTTAGCTGGTGTGTGGACTTTTCCTTCTTAACTACACCTGTCCACCGACTCGCTGTTAAAGCCACAGTTCTATAAGCAGATGAAGGCAGCAGATTTTGTATTAAGAGCTGGCTGTATGTTGTGACACTTTGTTTTATTCCCTGTCATTTTAATCTAAGAAACTCTTCCAAATGAATTTTGCTTATGAACTTGTGAATTACATTGATATTTCACTTTAAATCCCTCCAGAGGAAGATATACAAAGAGCTTCCCTGTAAAAGACTGAGCTGTAGCAGACTCAGTTTAATTACTGACCTGTTAAATACAGGAATGAAGTAGCAATAAAAATACATTTAAAACAGGGCAGCCCTTAATTTCTTCTTTCTATTGTCTGAGTTTTATTGTATGGAAACATGCAATTGTTAAAATCTGCAAAGCCTTGATGAGTTATTACAGTGCAGTTGCTTCCATTAAGAGCTGCTTGCACCACCCTGAAATAAGAGTCATTTTTCCTGTGCTCTCCGAATGTGCGGTAAGCGCTTTACTGTTTTGGGACATTTTGAAGTAAGTTTAGCCCATGTAATAAACCTCAGAGTTGTAAAGTCAGGGGCCAAACCCCATTGCCCTGAGGCTGAGCTCCAGTTTACTTCAGAAGGAATCTTTTAATGCTAACAGCTGTGGCACAAACTTTGCAAACTAACGCCAAGCAGTACAGCAAAATAGAGCAAAATAGAGTCGGAGTTGTGTAGTGACGTTAACTTTTCCCCGTTACCTCAAGCAGGTGGTCAATGTAGAATTGTGGCTGCAAGGCGAAGACCCATAGAAATCAGTTATCTTCTGTTTGGCAAAGATCTGAAGTCTCATAATAAGAAATGATTATAAGAAGTCATGATTTTTGATGGGTTGCTCGCAGGAGGTGCCTCGTCTGCACTTGGGGTTTGGCTGTATTTGCACACAGGTGCAATGCCAAGAGCCATATTGCTGCCATACAGCCTTAAAGCTCAGCTGGACAAAACACATTTTCACTGGCATTTCCTACGCAGTCTTCCCTGAGGAGAATTCCCCGCTGAGGAATTCTCTTTTTTCTTTCTTTTCCTTTTTTCTTTTCCCTTTTTATTGCTCCTTTTCTTTTTTATTTTTTTCCTTCTTTCCATTAAGTATTTATTGATTGATTTTTAGGCACTGTGATTAGAGTAGCACAAAATTTAAACTGTTTTGCACTTCTGGCCCCCTGAGGGAACAGTCTGAATTTGGCCATTTCCAAACCAAGATTCTTTGGTTTTACAAATGAAATCGCACTCTTTTACCTTCCTTTATATAGGAATTTAAGAAGCCCACAACTCCTCAAACCTTCCTCCCTCCAAACACGTCATCATGTGCCCACCGACTGAGTCACGTGCAGGACTCATCTTCCAATTTACTACCTTTAATCTTCAACCACATCTTCAATCACCTAGTCCAGAGAGGGCTTTTTCTTCTACTTTCAGCCAGGTAAATTTCTATCCTCGCTTTCCTCTTCTGGGCAAGACCATGACCATGGCCAATGAAGTTCATGACATACCACCAAAAGCCACTCTGTTCCCGAGCTCTTTGGAGCCAGGTGAGCAGCCAATCCCCAAACTTAGCCAGCATGTGCAATAGAACTTTTAAGGGTTTTGGTGTCATCAAGCCCATGATTTCTTTGCGAAAATAGCCAGAGGTACAAGCAGTAACTGATCCCCTCGACTAAACTTTTCATCCTTAGACCAAGAATGGAGGCTCGGTATCCAGCAAGACGGATGTTAGGCTAATTTTTATGAGTGAAAAGCAGTGTATTCCCTTGGGAGCAGTTGAAATATTTTAACTGAAATAGCCGTAATAAATCATAATAAACCCTTAGCAAAGAGAATGGTTACCCTTTAAGACTTAAGTAACTGAAAACAGGAGTCTTTTAACAGGAAGTTTCAGGCAGTTTTAACTGCAGACAGTGCTGGAAGTTCTGTCTCTAATATATAAAATTTTCTCTCTGCTTTCCCCAGAGCAGGCAAGGGCCCCATGCAGCAGCCCAGCAGCTGTGCAGTTTGCATGTAAAATTGCAGCCAGTGCAGGAACACCGATGTCTGGGGCCATGTCGCTTGGAATCAGTTTAAAATAAATACTGGAAAATCTGGCCTGGTGCAGAAGTGCCTAAATTATAGGTAATACCTACCTATGATTACTCACATTTGGCCTGTTAAGGACAGCTAGAAATAGTAAAAGTGGCTCCTAAATAGATGACCACAAATAGTAACAATGAATATAGCTTTGTAAATACATATGTGACTTGTGTATTGTGTACATGTGTATATATTTATGCATTTGTACACGTACCCAGAATTGGGATTAATTTAATGGACATGTAGTAAATACAAGAGCCTGTCTTCTGTGAGGCTCGTTGGAAGCTGAGGCATGCTGGATTAATTAGTTGTTGTAGCAAACAATAGGCTGGCTCCAAACTGGAATGAAGAAAGCGAAGGAACAGGAATGTGTGATCTGCCCTTTGGCTGAGCAGCCGGTACTGATCAGCTCTGTATCAAAGCTGAAATCAAACATAGGAGTCTGCATGTTACAGATGACATTGGCTTGATTTGTTCAAGCTAATTGCTGTAAATGTGAGAATACAGATATTTTCAAACTGTGAAATTTTAACCTAGGAACAAATCCTGTGGATGCTAGTGGGGTTACAATTTTTAACATATTGTTAAAGTCAGTATTTGCAAATACTTGAATCAAGTAACAGTGAGACGCATCAGCCTGCCTTCTTGCCCCTTAAATCAAAAAGCACCAGGTCACCCTTGGAAGGTAAACAGCTGGATTAGCAGATCTCTTTCCAGCTGTACTTCCATTTTCTAATTCCATTCTTGCTTTTTTAGGCCTTGATTCAAAGTCTGTTCAAATCAGTGGAAAGAGTTTCATTAAATTCAATGTTTTTCATTTGTGAGGCCCTTAATAGAGGTTAATATAGGTCTTCTCAGTGGCCATCTGTAAGGCAGAGCCCTAGAGATGGCTTTGGGACATTGCCTACATATAGGCAAAAATTTACTGGTGAGAGGTTTACGAGTCCATGGTCCCCATCTGTGCTGCTTAATGCTGCATATTTGCTCTATGTTATGTGCCGTGCATCAAAAAAAATCCCTAATTACAAACTTTTGCATACTTCTATTGCTTTTCTGTGAAACTTTGCAATGGCTTTAGAAATGCAACATTAAAAACATTGAGGTGACCCAGTTCTGTTCCATATCTCTTTTTATGCCTAGCATCATACTGTGTGTGCCAAAGTATCACATTCCTATAGCTTTCCTTAATCTGATACTATTTATCTTCCTTGGGAAGAATGAACCAAGCTGCTATTTACTGTAAGGTACTGACCCAGTTTGGTAGCTCAAATGAATGAGTATCAATTAAAATAAATGAAAATACGGGGTCGTTACCCATGCCTTCTCTGTGACTTTGCTTCATTACTTGTCATTTGACCTACGGTGTGATGACAGGACACTTGAAGGACATGGTCCTGAGAGGTGCTGCCTCTCACCTGAGAGATGCCCACATCTATTAGCGTCAGTAGCTCCACACTGAGGGAATTAGGCTCTGACCACATTTATATTCACTACAGTGCTTCTTGTTCTAGTCCTAAAATATTTCTGTATGTGAAAATTAAGGAATCATGTTCATTTATATGCCAGTGCTCAGGGTGGTTTTTAGTGTACGCCTATTTCATATTTCACAGATCTTTCAGTGCTTGAACTCTAAGCCAATCCAAAGTGTACATGTACTAGTTATCATCTATTACATCCTTTATCTGAGACCTTCCCTAAGCTTGTTGAAACTCTTGAGTCTTTAGATGTGCCAGGGTTTGCTTGCCTTATATATATTTGTACTTGTGGAATATGATTGAATGTTTATTGAACTAACTGACAGTTGCACAATTTTGTTCACTATGAACAAGATATAAGACAAAGTGAAAGGTTGAGATTTAGTTGATAGATAAGATACAGAGCTGATACATAAGAGGCCACAGAAATATGCCAGGTTTCTACTAGAATTGAAGGAGATGTAGGGTGGAGGGATAGTCTGTCAATCACCTATGACAAAATTCTGGGTTTAATTGGGATTACCCAGAGCAGACAGAAAGGGAGAAGGGGTGGGATTCAAAACCAAGCCCTGCAAAAGTCTCCCAGGGATCTGAAGTGGCAAAAGGAGATTCTCCAATTGCCACATCAAAGAAGGACTCAGTTAGAAGGAAATCTAGGAGGGAGGAGAGCCACAGTAGTAAAAGTTTTCAGAAAACTTCTGAAGACTTTTGAGTATTTTGAGTCTTTTGAGTATTGAACTTTGCTGACAAGTTGAAGATAGAGTAACGTCTCAGAGTTCTGGCTAGGAAGAAGTCATTAGAAACTTTGGCAAGATGCATTTTAGTGGTATGCAAGGGCCAAAAGCCAGGTTGGGCCAGAGACTAGCATGAGTCTGGAAGAGAGCAATACCAGGAGTGCTTCGGACAATGAATTCAGTGAGCTTAGAGTGGCAGGTATGAAGGGAAACAGGGCAAGAGTTGGAATACAACAATAATTCAGATAGATCGGGAAACAAACTTTTAGGTTAGGGAACTGAATAAAGACTCAGAGGGTATAATAAAGACTGGTGGTAAATGTGCGTTGGCTGATATTTAAGTGAGACCTCTTCAGTGATACAAGTACCCTTGTAGCTACTAGGAAGAAAAAAGCATTACGTGTTCTTGCTATCTGGTCTGTTT